TAAAGGCTCTTTAGAAGCTATTCGATTCCGTCATCCTTGAGGGAAAAACGCTTAAGGCATGGCACAGAAGTGTGGTAATACTCTTCTTCAAAAAAGGCAACAAAACCTTGTTGAAGAATTTATTTTATACCCATCTCACCATCACTTCTGATTCTGTTTTTGAGAGTCATCATGAATGGTTTCACGCGACATCTAGCCTCCCGAACAAATCGGTTTCCGATAAGGCTTTAGTACGATAGACCACATACTTATCTATGGCAGAAAACTGAGGAGAATAATCAGCAACTTTGTCTGGCATTTGTGGTCTATGAGAAAGACTTCTCTCTTCAAGCTACAGTCTCTCCAACGGTGCCAAATTTACTATAGATATAATCGTTGAAGGGCTTGTACGAATAGGCCACAATGTCAGTCCGTCTCCGGGATCAGGACTTCAGTTGCAGCGAGGGGTCAGACAGGGAGATGTCATATTTCTAAAAATGTTCACTACCACTCTGGAAGATGTTTTCAAGCTTCTGGACTGGAGCGGATTGGGCATAAAAATATCATCAGCGAGTACATCACCCATCTTTGATTCACGGACGATATCGTAGTCATGGCTGAGAACGTGGAGGATTTAAGTTCAATCCTCGATTGCCTCAATAGAGCCTCTCAACAAATGGGTCTTTAATGGACAAGACAAAAATCATGTCAAATGCCGTGCTGTATCCACTCCTGAAGGTTGGAGACACTATAAGTTGTCTGATGGCCGCTGGAGCAGGAAAGTTCTTGAGTGGCGACCATGAGCTGGAAGACGCAGCTTGGGCAAGCCTCACACTAGGTGGACCGATGATCTGGTGAAGGTCGCGTCAGGTGCCTGTATGCGAGCGGCACAGGACCGGTCTTTGTGGAAATCCTTGGGGGAGGCCGTTGTCCAGCAGTGGACGTCTTTCGGCTGAAACGAACGACCGAGTCTTTATTTTATTAGATTGGTATATTTAAGATCTAAAAGCGGGTGCCATATCTTAATTTTTTATTGAATAACAAGCGATCTCAGCAATTATTTTGTAATACTTGTTTCATTTACCCCTTGGTCATTTGGGAAAGTTCAACATGAAAGCGTTATTGGCTTATGATAAGCGCAGTATAATTGTATTATTACTGCGCATTTAAAGTTTTGATAAATTATTTTGATTCACACTCCCACTCATAAATGCAGTAAGTTGTAAAGATACGGCGCATATATTACGTTGTAAGAACTAAAATTTAAATCAATCATTTAACACATGTACCGTAAGTAACGAAAACTACTGATAAACGCAGTAAGGAACAATCATACTGCATTCATGGGTAGTAAGTATCACACGAAAACTTAGTTAATCCATAACATAAACAGTTTTTTAATAATTTTAAATACAAAATATTAATTAAAATACAAAAACCTCATATCAAAATAAACTTTGAGTTTAGCTCTATAAGCCCATATAATTTTTTTTACAAATATTTGCGTAACTAATTGTAGACACCCCAAAATAAAATTTCAACTTTGATCGCGTTTTTCTCGAAACTGTTCACGTGTTACTTACTGCGTTTATAAATTGTGCGGCAGGGTAGTAAAATGAGACAAGTAGGTAAGAAATAGGAATCCGTTTATAACCTGACCACAGAAAAGACTGGAAACTTAAGTACTTGGCGGCCGTGACGTTACATCGACGCTCTGGTACGGATGGGGCGAGTGCGGGGAGGTCTGCGTGTAAGTGGGAGTTGTGGTGGGAGGGAGAGTCGAATTCCAGCGAGGTGAGCAGTTAGCTTGATTGGGTTGTAGTTGTTAAAGGATTAGACCTATGAATCCAAAAGTTCAGGTTTTGATTTCCAGACTGAGCACAGTCAGTTTACTCAGAAATTACAAGCTTGAATTATTAGAAAGTTAATGGCTTTCAAAGCCGACGCTAAGCCACATCACTTCATCCTGATTGAGCTACCAATTGGCAGCTCAATTTGACAAAAAATTTTTACCACAAAATATTGGGGCTAAACTAATCGCATAAGAACTACATTTGATTAAGGGCCATAAACGCAAGCTGCGATGTAAAGCTTCGACCAAACCAACGCGTTCAGATCGCGTCGGCGATGGCGATCACTGCGCGTGCATAGGCCAATGACAGGACGCGTGATCAAATACAAGACGCGCGGCCTGTGCCAGTGGCATGATTCACGTATTTTGAAACAGTCAAAATGTCGTTGAAGCTTTGACCTCGTCCTATTAAAAACAGAACAGTCCTAAATCCGTATTCACGTGTCATTTCGATAAAACGATTACCTACTCATTAGGATCCCAACTCAGCGATTTGTCATTTGACGTTTATTATTGTCGTCCGATTAAACCATAGGGCGATTAACACGCGAATACGAAAAGAGAAGTGATTCCAGCGATCTAATCGCTTGCATGGTCGTTGAAGTTTCGTTACGTGAATTAGGCCACAGGACGCGTTGATGTGAACTCATCGCTATAAATTCATACACATCTGATCGCCATCGCTATCGCCATCGTGCAAGCCGGTTGCACGCGTTGGTTTGGCCGAAGCTTAGTGGAGCTGACGATTTGTCTTCGGGCCGACGGCGACATCGATCAGGCTTAGATACAGTTTCATGTCTCCATCCCGTTTGATTGGTCGATTGAGATGTCCGTATTTTTCAAAGGTTTTCCTGGAATTATGGTGGATATTTTCGCTATTGCTTTAATGTGAAATATACTGTGTATTAGAGGGAAGTTATTGTGTGAAGCTAAAAATAACTTTGAAAAACTGTGTTATATTTACTACGTTCTTGTCAAGTACGATGAATATTTTATTAATTCTTCTAAATTACTCAATAAAAGGTGGCCTTAAAATCTGTTTCAAAACCAACTACGATTTTTAAAGATAGAAATCCATTTAGAATCTAGATTATTGTTGCAAGTAGCTAAGTAGATCTAAATATCACAAGGAAAATTATTGCACCAATTTCAGTGTCAGAATAGTCCTCATCATCATCATCATTTCAGCCATAGGACGTCCACTGCTGAACATAGGCCTCCCCCAATGATTTCCACGATGGCCGGTTGGTGGCAGCCTGCATCCAGCGCCTTCCCGCTACCTTCATGAAGTCTTCGGTCCACCAGAATGGTCCTTTTACACATTAATTAATGATAAGAAAGTAATTTTAATTAATCAAGAATATTTAACTTAAAATAAATATTATTTTCCCATTAATTAGCGACCCTATTATAAAGCTACCCTCGTAGTGCCTTAACTCGATAAACAGCTTATTTGATTTTAATGAAGAGTCGACACAAAGGAGACAAAACATAATCAACGTGAATAAACAAGATGTAATATATTTTGAATAAACAAGGAGAGGTAATATATTTAGAAACTCTTTGTAGAATAGCGCGGGGTTAGGGTTGCCAGGTCCAAAAACACAAAAGCCGGACTCTGTGCTTTCGTTTGGCCGGACATTTTACCCTAAAAGCCGGACATGTGACAATTAGTGTCATAGCTCCCGAGTGAGTACTGTCATCGTATTATCGGTTGTCCAACATAACATCCTGATGCGTGCGCTTTATATTATTCTATGGCTCGACTTTCGCCTGGCGCAGCAGGCCAAATAAAAAGCCTAACAAAAGCCGGACAGGCCGGACAAGACAATATTTGGCCGGACAAGACCGTAAAAAGCCGGACGCCTGGCAACCCTACGCGGGGTTAAAGAACATTTGCTTCGTTTAAATAAAAAGGGTAATGTTAAAATTGAAAGAGAAAGTGAACAATAAGCAGTTGTATATCGGATTGAATAATATAACTAAAGTACACAGTCAAAAGCAATTCACACTATTTCTATTGCAAAAACGTTTTGTAGTTCCATAAAATTCCATTTGTCATCATAGTGCGGACAATATTTTGGATCTCGTGTGGATAAAATGACATTAAAAACATAAATGAAAATGAGAGCTTATGCGTGTCAAAGTTACAAGATTTTGACTTTTAGAAAATCTCAAAATGTCCAACTTTTTGGTCCAAGGATTGGTTTCATGTTTTCATTTTAATTGTTTACATAAACATCAGTTTATACGAATTTTCTGATTGCGTCACTCTTAGGCTTATACCATCTTACATTTACTTTAACAAACGACAAAAATTTGTCAAACTCCTTAAACACCGCTTATTGTCATAGATACTGTTAAAACCAGTTGTAAACTCAGCCTTAGAATACGCAGTCCCTGTTCACGTCATACTGTAATAACATAAGCGGACAATACCTACCCGGATACTCAAGCATTGTGCCCGGCAAACAGTGGGTCGGCCACGCGTGAGCGTTCAATAGCTCGTTAATAGATATTGGACTAAGCGAATGTGCTTAAGCGATGCTTAATTAATAACGTATCTATAAAATGTTGGATACATGCTCGATTTCCGTATATATGAAATTCTGGTAGCAGGAAAATTCGTTATACGAGTAAGCCTTTCGTGATCGCCAAATGACGTCCACTACTGGACAAAAGCCTCGCCCATAACTTTTGAAATATTAATTGGTACACAGTATTCTCCCCTGCATAAAACAACCCTGAGTTATCTCTTTCTCTCTCTTTTTTTCCCTTTTTTTATTGCACAAATTACTATAGTCCCGTTAATCCCTCCAATTAAGCTTCGATAAAATAAATAATACTAAGCTTGTTTTGGGAGTGGATTCTCCATAATAGTCATAGTCGAGCGGATTTTGAACTACTTTTCAATTGCTTATAATCCTGCAAGACAAGAAAGATTACTTCTTAACTTTCAGAATTTATTATTTAACCTTTTTACCTAATATAGTACGAGTAGCATGACAGTAGGCAGGTAAATAAAAAGTATAGCAATTAAAATAGCAATTTTACATAATCTAACCTAAACGGTTTACGGCCGTTGTAAATGTCTATTCATTTGTTTATCAACCTACATCTGCTTCATAGCTGCAGAATAATAACTATTATTGTAATAACTGAGCCGACAATGCCTCCAATGCCTCCAATACTGAACTGTCGGACTGACATTGTAGCTCAAATGCTCATTGAGCCCACAGAAGGTCGAGCGTTTGAGCTCAATAGCCCGGTAATAGATGTCGGACCAGGTGAATGTGTTTGAAGGATGCTTAATTAACGTTATTGTAGACACTAAAACGTTATTGGCTGTTATGAATTTAATGTCACAGTTACGTGCGTTAACTAATTTATGGGTTAAAATACAAACTGTGTAATGCCTCGTACGTCATTGCCTTTTCGGTCCATACATCATAAAATATAAGAAAATGCAATCTTATTTACAACTGTGTCATTCCCAAGTAACACGCAAGCTGTATATTCACTGAAGTTAAGATTGATTTACGTTTTAAAGTCAGACTATCACTTTAAATCAGTTTTGACTTAGTTTAAATGCTTTTGAGTAGAATGCGGTAAAATTTACAATGCATGAAGCTATTATATGGTCTAAAAAATTAAGTTAATTGGCTTATAATCATACTAAAACATTAATTACTTTTAATATACAGCACCTTTAACAGCATTTACACTAACACAAAGGTTAAAACCGTATATTAGTAAATAAGAAAACCTAATGCATTAAATAAACGTTGTCGAAATATTCTATAGTGCATTCAGATATATTAACACATTTTACAGATTGAACGCATTTTTATGATCTTTTCTTATGCTTATTTACTGCTCAGCATTAGCCAAACATTTACTAAAGTTTTAGCTCTGTTATCTTCTTATTTTATTGTTACTTTAAAGCTTTTAGCACTATTTAGATAAATAAAAAAAATATTTTATTACTTTAGGTCATAATTTGGCCATAAAACCACGAGCCGTATGATTATATTCATTTGTGCGTTAGTAGGTCCTGTATATTCATTAGAAAATTTATGTCGAACGTGTCACGTTATTGACATGAATAAACAGTGGAAAAAACCTAAAAAGTGTTACAGTAATGCTAAAGATATCACTTAGATATTTTATATGTAGGTTGAATGACTTAACCATTTTCTTTTTACTATAATAAGACTGACAACATTAAAAGACACTAGTTGAAAGTTTAAAACATTAATATTATCTGACGCCATTTGCTTTCTGTTTTCTCTAACATAGAAAATAAAATTATAATACACATATGCATGAAATACTACTTATTATCCTTTTCTTACAAGCGGAGTATCGATAGAAGCAATTTTATAAGTTAAAATTAATCAAATCGTTAAAAAAATCACAAAAAGTGTCATATGTCGATTCTAAATTTGTCCCTATTTTATTAAAAAAAGGATTTCTGTGAGGGCGCGTGAATTATAAACCACAAACATATATATATTTTCACATAAGACTAATACTCCCAGCTCATTTTCATTCTTGAAACAAAAAAATATGATACTTACCTTATGATAAATTATTTTAAATAAAGACATTAAAACAACTCCTCACAACACCATTGCACTGCAATACTCTAAACGAAAAATAATCAAATCGGACAATAAAATGCGATAAGTTTTTTCGAATACTTTCAAACAAACAAAATAAAACGTTCAGCCTTAGAATAAAACGTAACTTTGGCATTGTAATTCTGAAAGCTGTTTCAAAGCTGTACTAACATCTAATAAAATGCTTTTTACATTAGAATATGCTGTCTAACAACTTTACTAATGTCTGTCTTCAATAACATTATAAGCGCTGGTTAGCAGCACTAATAATATTTAATAATGCTCAAAGCCGTATTATTTGGGGCCCAAATTGCGCTTATAAGACACTTATAGACTTTTATACGGCTGATATAGTGCTACATATGCTGCTCATATACTGCTCTGCACGTAGGTTCATGCTGTTGTACGCTTCTTATAATTGTGTTTTGTGTTACTTGGGTTCTGTACGCTTTAAAAGGGATTTTTTTAACTTTATCTAGTAGAGTTCTGGAGTTCCTAAACTTAGGCTGAGTTACACCACCTAACTTTGACCGTAACTTTAACGATAACCGGTGTGTTTTGTATGGAGTTTGACAGATTGTTGACGTTTGTCAAAATTAAATGGATGGCTGGTTCACTCGTCATGTCTGTGAACAGGCGCTGCTTTCGGGGACTGGTCAATCCAAGTTATTCAAATTTATGTATGCGAGTAATTTCTACTAGTCTAGATATTAGCACGTCACTACCTTGTTTAATATACCACGCAATCTTGTATACCCATTCTTATAAGATACACCATACAAGAATGCATGGTAAATTCAGTGAACTGCTCCTGAATTGAATGTACCTACTACTACTATTTCTACTTATCTATATTAACCGGCAGACAGTGGTGACTGAGTTTGTTGCGGCGCTTCTTCTCAGCACTTGCCAAATGTTGGTCTCGAAGCGCTGGTAGGGTAAAAAGATTATGAGACATGTAGAGGCTCCTTAAGAGCAATAATGACGATTTGTAAGAACTATTTATTAGTCTAAACAAATAAAGAAATTTTGACTTTGACTTTGACTTTGAAAGTAAGATGGTGCAACTCAGCCTTCGTTTTCAAATTTTTATGACTTAAAACTACAGAACTGACTTTTGTAGTATCGAAATACTCTAATATAGATATCGATTTTACTAATTTGACCCTGAGATGCCATTGGTTGCTGTATTATGTTAGTAATGCGTTGCCATAAGATAATCCCAGCATTGGATTTCCATCTTACAACTATACTTTTATTTAGCTAACCTGTTTTGTTGTTCACATTTTTTTCCTTCGAGAATTCGCAATAAAGTTGAAAATTTAACGAGTCTGTAAGCTCGGACGATGATTCCCGTAAACGACTGGCTTCCGCAGTCGAGGCAAGAACGGTATCTTGAGTAGAGGAATTTATTCAGCTGTGGGGTAAAGAGAACGCTATTCCTTAGTAGCTTTTACGGAAAGCTTCATTTTCTAACAAAGAGATGAATATAGGATGTTTCTTCTTCTTTTCAGCCAAATGACGTCCACTGCTGGACAAAGGCCTCCCCCAAGGTTTTCCACAATGAACGGTCCTGCGCTGCCCGCATCCAGGCTCTTCCCGCGACCTTTACCAGATCGTCGGTCCACCTATAGGATGCTAAAAAGTTAGATTTATAAAAAATCCACGGGCTTTTTATTAGGACTTTTTCAAACGAATAACGAAGTTGCAATCTAGTTTAGTTTTAATTGAATTTAGTTTAGAATCAAGTAGTGAGTGTAGTTTTATGAAACGGATCTGTGACGTAATCCCAAGTANCTACTTGGGATGTGTCTTAAGGACTTTATACATCAAGCTCACCTACAGTCCGGCAGCTTGTTGACGGCGGCTTTATTTCATAAGAAACTTGTAGTTTCTATGACTTTTGAGAACTCATTTTGTGGGGTCGCGGTGGATTTGGTGTCTAGACTGTATTACCTCGTTCGTTTCAGCCAAATGACTTCCACTGCTGGACAAAGGCCTCCCTAAAAAAGGTAAACTAATACAATTAGGCTGGGTTGCACCATCTACTTTAACTTTGACAAACGTCAAAAATCTGTCAAACTCCATACAAAAAGGACTGGTTATCGTTATAGTTACTGTTAAAGTTGGTGGTGCAACTCAGCCTTATTGTAGCACGCAATATATTTTCAGAATATACTCGTATTTCCACAGAATTTGTGGAGCTATTTTGGCAAATTGTACCCACAACTCTCAAGTCGGAAGTTGAGACGACAAAAACTCGCTAATCTTGTTAACAGAATCCCAACAATTATTATTATCATTACGACGTAGCCTTAGATTAAAATCGCTCCCACAGTGCTATTTATACAACAGAGAAGAAAACCTCCTTAAAGAATTTCAAAACCTGAGCAAAGCATCGAATAGAAGGGTCGGGGCTTTTTAGACTGTGGTCTTTCTTCCTGCTTCCAAAACAAACCCGCAAGTTTTGTTAATTCACCAAGTTTATAAGTAGATTTCCTTTATAGAAACAATATCTGTTTAAGACGGAAATAAAGTTTTTACATTACATTTTATCTGAGTGCTACTTGATAATTAATTCAAAGCTGCCCGAGCTTTATTGGCAATTTGCAACAGATTGGGGAATTAATAATTGGGTTTAATGTTCTCAGAATGTTTTTGTGAGTAATCCCACGATCATTTGAAGTTTTGTTGAGTTTCTTCAAGTACTTTTTTTCCAAAGAGAAACCCACTGATTATAATGTTTTTTAAGATCTCTACATGGGTTAAGATTTCCGAAGAAGGTTACTTTTTGGTATTATTTATAAAGAGGCTAAGTTTTTGTATTCTCGGTGGCCGCATCGTCTTTACTTGACGTCATTCCTTGTACCTATAAATAAAGTGAAGATCGTATGGTTAGTAATTTTATTGGAGTTTTTAAAAATAGGGTAGTAGACCCGCTCTGAGTTGCATCCTGCAGCATATAGTGCCAGACTTTATGTGACGCTATTAGCACTAAATGTACGATAACACTGACAACTAATCGCCTACACCTACTTTTACCCGTACGGTGAACGACAAACTCGGCAACGGGACGCAAAAATATCGAATGGTCGTAGCAAATAATAGACCTACGTAGTCGCGTAGAACACACGTCGTTTGAAGTATTGGTTCCATTACGTCGTTTACTTAGCTAGGACAACGGATTATACGTTAGATTATACTCGTAAAGAGATTCATTCAACCAAAAGACCTTTAAAAGGCCAAAGTAAAGTCACCTTCAAAAATATTAGCGACTCAATAATCGCTCGCTGGATCTTTATTCATACACAAAACACTCCTTAATCCGTGTAAATCCTCAGTTAAACCCGCAGTAGTCTGCGTTGAGGGCCATATATTTTAATTTGAGCGCGTCAGACACGTGCCTCTTAATTAAGTCGGCGACAACTTTATTACCTACAGTTTATTTTATCTGGAGAAAAGTCGAGAGCTTCTTATAGAATAGGGATAGGCAGAATTCTCGCAAGTGCTTATGCACTTCACTATCAGGACTATTTAAAGACTGAGAACTGCTTGCTTGCCAATTAGATGCGTTGATAGACTTCACCAGAGGCTAAATTAGTTTCAAAGAAAAGTTTGACGGTCACTAGAACCGAAACGTAAACAT